AGTTGTTCCAGGAGAAAGAAAATGTTGTAAAAATCAGCTGAAACATGTAAAAACAGTGGAAAAGTTTGAGAATAAAGCTCCTCAACGAAACTTTATTCTCACCAGCAGAGTTGTGTCAGGTGGGTTTTGTTCACTAAACAAAGATAAACGAGGGGATTCTTCAGATCCTGTCAGAAACTAAACTAAATAAATCTCATCAGATGTGAAGCAGCTCGTTTGAAACTTTTATTTTGTAGCTTTTTGTTTTCTTAGAATATTCTGTGAACAACATTGTGTAGTTTTCCTAAATTTGCTCGTCCTTCCCGCCCACACAGTCTGTCCATCTCATTACATTAGCACCAGCGAGGTGGGGGGGCAGTGAGGGGGGGACGTGAACAGAAGAGCGATGAGAATCGCCCCGAGCTACAAATACATACGAGCACAAGAGGAAATTAGAGAAATCGTGACTCGAGGGTCTGTTGTGTGAGCAAAAAGCTTCCGATTGATTTAGCAGGTTCCTCAGGAGCGGAAAGCCTCCTGACACATTCAGGACGAGACATTTATAATCCATGAGTTCATCCATCCTTTCTTTCTCTCTTATTATAGCTGCTCCCCTCCCTGCTTCCTCCCCTCCCCTCATCAGAACCAAAACCTTCGTCTCATCTTGACTTCATCACGTCGCTCCTCTGAATCTGTTTAACTCGTTATGTGTTCAAGCTGCAAATTAAAGATTTTATTTAGAAAATGTTTTATAAACTCAAGCAGCACACAGGCGTCTTGTTTGATTGTAATGAACATAAAGACGTGAGTGAATGAGAGGAAGGTGATGTGACAAAAGTGTTTGTTGGTTTTTGAGTCGAACAGCTGAAACTGTTTCAGCTGAGCAGCGACCTGAAACCCTCTGTCACCGCCTTTAAACAAAACTTTAACCAGTTCTACGTGTGGATTTATGAAGACGACATCATGAGCTCACAACTCAGAAACCTTTTTTAGCAAAAAAAAAAAGTTAAATCATAAAAATCAAGAAATCCATTTTAATGTCTTGACTTTAACTGAAACAAGATACCACATAAATGAGCCCCTGTATGTACA